AATAGACTGTTCTTATTAGTTAACGGAACATTTAGTAAAGTATGATTTGTTAGTTGTTTGTGTTGTGATGCCAACAGATAAAGTCTCACTGATAGGCTGAAAAGATAACTTTGAGATTTTGAGAAGTAGACACATAAATACAATCTTTGGACCATCATCTAAAGATGAAAACAATATTTTCATCATGTACATACGTGCGTAACTTTTGTGAAATATAGTTAAATCGATTTTCCCCTTATTCATAAACAGCTGTAATTAATTTCGGCTAATAAGTAGGTTTTTTTTTACCACTACACTTTTATTAATTGAATCAAATTGTATTCCGTATAAATACAATGTTGAGTCTATGGTTTTAATTTTACTATATTATGACAAATTATTCATAACATGTAGATGTCTATGAGCTACAGCATCCACTTATCATCAAGTAGACTTTGTGTTCGTTTGTCACCCTTATTCTATGTAAAATACATTACGTACATACATTATGATACTGAAAGAAGATGTAGTGACAAAAATTAAGAAAGGTATTCTGAGATGGTTTGGCCATGTCGAGAGAATGAATGAAGAACGATTGACGAAAAAAGTGTATAAGGCGAGTGTGAATGAAAGTGTTGGAAAAAGGCCAGGTCAAGAGTACCCTAAACCGAAGAGCGTGTATGAAGGGAATAATGAAAGTGGATGAAGCGAAACAAGTATGTAAGGATCGTAGCAAGTGGTCTCTGCCTACCCCTACGGGAAAGAGGCGTGATTATATGTATGTATGTATGTATACTATACAAGTATCATAACTTTTGTCAAATATACACCACAATTGGTTTTCTCCTTATTTATAAGCATCTGTAAGTGACGAGTCTAATAACCAGTCTTAACAAATAGCGAAACTTCGCTACCCACACCCCAGCTCCAGAGCAAAAGCTTCCGAACAAAGCGTTCAATATTTTATAGCGCCGCATAAATCTCGCCGCACTCAATAGGCACCGGTAATGCTTGCGAACTATTTCCATCGAGCAACAGTAGCGCAAGCATCTCGAACTATGTCTTGTAACTCAACGGGAAGCAGCGATGCCGACGGCGGTCGTGCCAACTTCCAGATGCACTGAAGTTTCGCACAGTTTACGGATGTTTTAAATGTTATAATTCACTTTATTATACTTGATCCTTTGTGAGCGGAACTGATCCGGTCCGTGGTCGCTAGTAACTTGTTAAACAAAACAAATCAAAAATGAAGCTTCACCAAGAAAACTTGAGTTAAATAAAACCTATTTTTATACCGTTACAGCTTGTTAAATTCCACTGCTGAACATAGGCCTCCCCCATGGATTATACCTCATTGAGGATAGGCCTTAGTTGCCACGCTTGGAAAGTGGGTTGGCAACCGCAGTTTTTATTTTTATTTTTAGTCATTATTAGGAAGATGTTGCTGTCCATCTCCTGATTTGTTTCCCTCTGTCGCTTCTTACCGAAACTTAGGGGATGATATGGGGTAGTGGATATTCTTGCAACGCCACTACACGGATTGGAAATGTATTTTTATATAACGCTTTATTTAATTAAAATTTCTTCTTCATCATCATCATCAGCTTATAGAAGTCCACTATTGGACATGAGCCTCTCCCGTTGTAAGGAAAATTTGAGCTTGGCAGGCGCATTGACCATCGCAGTGCCAGACGTCTCGCATCTTTGACGCTGCTGTCCGTCGCTTAATTGGGTATTTTGGGTCTGGTGTAAAAGACGGCATTTTTATGGCATTTCCCATGGTCGACTCATACGACACCCACGTGACAAAATAGATGATAGACTATTTTACGCCATCACCACACGATACTTATAATTTATATTTACATAATTAAAAACTTACTTACTTACTTATCTTCACGCACAATCCCTGACGGGGTAGCCAGAGAGAACAGATCGCCAAGTGTCACGATCCTTACATATCTCTTTTTTTAATTAAAAACTATTTGTTTAAATTAAACCTTGTCTCTCAAATTATATTATGTGTATTTTGTATTAAGGATTATGTTGGAAGCCTCTTTATGAAAACTCTAAATATACGAAGATTTTCATTATCATAAATCCTGAATCCTATCCTAATCCTAGTGACATAAATTGATGACAGAGATGTTCAAATTTGTACATTTGAAATTCTATTGTTTAACAACTTAAAACAATAATTTATCAAAATTGCAGTTATACTCAGAATCACAATTACATCAATAAAAATTATAATTTCTTCTTCTACATCTCCGAGAATTTATGTGTAGAATTTATGTATAGTGTATATATAGAATGGCTTGACAGCTCAGTAGCACCTTAGATTCGAATTTCTTTCAATACAAGTGTTTGTATGGTTTATAAATAATTGTTATTTAAATGTCACTATGTATAATAATTGGCCAACCAATCAAAGTGGAAAGCACGCCTTACTTTTTAAATATTTTGCAACTCTAAATAGTTTCTTTAATAATATTTTTACTAATAGTATTATTAATAGTATACAGAATTTTTTTTTAATCAAGTTGAAATTTGTCAGACACTTGTTATCACCTCAAAGGAAGGTGACGTCATTTCCACTACAAACGGTAGTGGAAATTCTGGCCAATTACACCTACGCGCATTACCTTTGCACTTGCTTGACATTTAACTAGGTAAATGCCTCTATTCATTACCCTACTACGCGACTATGGGACATACCAGAACGATATCATGGCCTCTATTAAATAGTGGTGGTTCATCTCGTATAGTAGATCAGATGTAAAATAGTACTAATATGCACAACTTCTTGTATTAACATATTATGCTAACATACATGTCAGGATTGGTGATTACGGCAAATATATATAGTACTATGAAAGAGATACATGTCCAACATTTAGTCTGAAACTAAGAACTTATTGATAGAAAACCCAGTAACTGACTTGGGCTCGGCCTTGTATTTGAACCTGAGACCACATGATAGGCAGTCGTGCTTACGACCACTAAACCTACGAGTTTGGCGTTTTGCTCTATGTTTGGGATACCGGTATGTATGTGTATATAGCCTGTAGGATTATAGTTCGGTATTTTCGAATGGAAATACTGTTTGTTGTTCGATAGAGCGTCGTTCGTTAGTTAACAGGGTGTAAACACATGCAGATGAGGTGGGTATTTGGAGACGTTGTATCATCTCCCTTTCACCTATTTGTTTTTTATAACTCACCTTACATGTATGTACAGTAAAAACTATAAAGCATACAAGACGCTTATAAAGGAACAATCCTCCAGACGACATCATCTCTAAAAGAAAAGTTCTAAAAATGAGAAACTTTGTATAGTCCATATATAAATGTTCTAGTGTGGGGCTCGCTGCAGAGCTCACACGTTCGTGTATGTATGTACGTATATTACACGAATGGTAGGTTTTTTCATTTCGTAGCTCTTCCTTTCATTCCACCATGCCGGCTGTGCTAAATAGCTGTATGTATATACATATAATGGTATTGAAACATTTAATAATTTTGTTGTAGTTTCGTTACAGTAAATTATTGCACTGTCAGTCATTTCATTATTCCTTCGTGGCTTAGCTTAATAACCAGAGTAAGTTGCAGCTAAATCACTAATCCTGGGTTAAAATAAAGGCGGATCCATAAGTTTGTACCGAAAAAATGATGAGTAATCTTCGGAGTAAAATCTTAGTGAAATTAACAAAATCAAACAACTTGCATCTGGTTTTGTTGGGTAGCAAATATTTTTATTGATTCGTTCAGTGTTTGCCTTCTATATCTTTTCAGACTGCAATAATTCTAAAAAATGTTTAGGCGTCAAAATGTTATAAGAAGCCATAATCCATAGCCATAGGTTATATCTAGAACTAGATACATCTGTTACAAAGCAGTGCTAGCATTCAATACGTTTGAAATGCTATAGGCTTTAAGCACTTTAGTGCTTAAGATGTCAAACCTATATGTGCACAAAACAGTTTATTTTATACGTCTTATTATGTACTCGTATCTACTGAAATTCGACATAAAGGCAAGTAAAATCTTAGAATATATCGAGTGTTTTTGTATGTGATTTTATTTAAACTTATTTATAACTAGCTGTTCCCCGCGACTTCGTCCGCGCGTAATTTACTTCGATTGGATTTCATGGGTTTTAATTTTTAGCGCGGAACCCTAATCCTTTTTTAAAATAAAAGTAGCCTAAGTTACTTCTTATAACATCAGCTATCTGCCAGTGAAAGTCCAGTCAAAATTGTTTCAGCCGTTTCGGAGATTAGCCGGAACAAACAGACAAAAATTTTAAAAATCGTGTTTTTGTTATAATTACCGTATATACTTTCATATGCATATAGTAAAAAGCTGTTATTTAAATTTTATTTATTTGTATAGATGAATGGCCACCAATGAATTTTTCATTGAAATTTTAGTGGAGACTTATCACGTGCTCAACATTGAAATCTATCATAGTGAGAAAACTTACACCTAATAAAAACAATATTTCGACGTCATGTGAAGCAGCCTTCAACCAAAAAGCAACGCGTGGTGGTTTTGAGAAGCAGTGGGTGTCTTGCTGTCGTACAACTCGTTTATATAGGCTGTTTTTTTAATACATTTTATTTATTTTTTTACAAAATTATTGGGAGATTATAATAATAGGTAAATAAATAAATATTAACGCTTTCCCTGTCCCATGAATCATACATGAACATTTCAATTGTTTAATTACTGACTGTTTCGCGGACAGAGAAACTGTTAAATAAAAAAAGACCTATTAATTTATTATCTATTTATTTGCATATTATGGCGAACTTAATATCTTGAAGTTCATGAAACAACAAATACGAGTATAAGGATTCATGCCGATTCACTTATTCGATAGACAAAACAATTCATTATTTTTTTATCTGTTACTTTCACGAAGAATTTATCCATTTTAACATTATGTTTTTCCTCTTATTCTATGATCAGTGAGTAAAAAGGTGGACGAAGTTTTAATTTTATTTTTATTTGTTTCAGCTCAACATGTAGAAATAACACCACTGAAGGCGGTACGTCGCGTGGGCGACGAGCTCACAGTACTGTGTAAAGTGCCCTACCGCATCGACTCGTGTCGGTAAGCATTATAATATTTTTTTTTGTAAAAGGTGTCACCGACGTATGTGCCGAAAATCTTTCAGTAACCAGCTTTACTAGATGGTAGGACTCCTTTTCTTCTCTGGACTCAATCTGGATAGGTTATCCGCCCTGGTATATAGCAGTGCGTGCACAGCTGTATTCTAACCTGAAGAGTATAATAGAGTGTCATTTTAAACACGAAGTTGTTTGCAGATGTCCCCATGAACATCTGCAAACAACTTCGTCAGCTACAGTTGCTATTTACCATCAGGTGGCCTGTAATGTAAGGCCATTTGTCGCTTCAATTTTATAAAATAAAAATCGCCTAGCTTCCCTCGAGCTTGCTGAAAGTGTCATGGTAACTCAGGGACTTGATCGCCTTCAATTTTAAGGAACGCGACCAACCAAGACGATCTCTACTGGCACTAATGAAATTGTTAATCGTTATTTTGAATGCTACTTTGTTATATATGGTGAAGAAAAGTTATCTAAATTATAATTTTAATATTTCGAGGACATGAGACGCATTGGTGCAGCGTGGCGGACACCTCTCTGTCGAAATTTCCATTTTAAAATATAGGAGGCTTGTACGTTAAGCATAAATGTAAATATAGATTTGTATAATATAGCATAATTAATAAACAAGCATACAAATGGTCACATTAAGCTGTCACGTGCACCCCCATCCATTTACGTTAAAGAATCAATAAAGAGGCGCAATGACACAACTATGGTTTGTTTTAATACGTGTTTGGTCTTCGGATCTCGTCACAATTAGGTTTATCAAATACTGGACCTAACAGGAATCTTTCCTGCTCCATCTAGCAGTGGGGCATATCCTGGTGTTGACTGTTACTTTCTTATTCGCTCTCTCCTGTGCCCCGCTGTGGAACGTATATATAGGCTGTAACTTTACCTTACTTTACTTTATTTAATTGCGGGATTCTGCTTTTAACGTGTCGACTCATTTATTACATCTGACAAATTATATAAATGATTATTGCGTACTTTTTAATTTTTAACCGACTTCAAAAAAAGGAGGAGTTGCTCAGTTCAACTGACTGTGTTACCTCAGAACTTTTCTCTAGGTGAACCGATTTTGATGATTCTTTTTTTATTTGAAAGCTGGTGCTTCTCATGTGGTCTCGTATAAAATGTAACCAGTACTTTTCAGAGTTATCCTTAATAATGCGTATTTAATTGAATTCGACCACATTGATAATGTTCTGATTTGAATTGATGAAGACCATGGTTGCTGGAAAGCATCCCAAACGTCTGGAATTACAAATAAAACAATTAAACGCGATAAAATCAGTAAAGGTTATTCGACGTTCTCATTTTATTTATATTGAAGTCGGTCGTACAACATTATTAATTTTACCACTTGTTTAGTAAAAGGGACAAAATACAAATACATATAGCATGTCTCGTGCCTTCAAATTCCGTCTTCGTCTTATTTAGTCAACCAATTAGCTTTATGTTTTATTGTTAATTGGTTTCTGTGAAGACATCACTGTAAATGGGACAAACAACTACAAGGCTGTACGTTTTCATCGCCAAGTTTAACGTCGTAGTTAGGCATAGTTGAGTTAACATTTGTAGCGGTAAGTTAACTAAGACGATAAACTCAACCGCGAACAGCTTGCTTCAAGTTTTAGTTGTGTGCCAATTCCTGTAACTCTCACATAACTCGACATAGAGACAACGCGAGTTCATTATGTAGTTGCGGCGACGGTGTCTTGTTGGAAAGAGAATTCATACATACATACATACATAAACACTCACGCCTGTCACCCAGAGGGGTAGGCAGAGACTACGGACTTCCATTTGGCGCGATCCTGACACACCTCTCTCGCCTCTTTTACATCCATATATCTACGCATACACGCTCGTCGGTTAAGGGTACTCCTAATCTGGCCCATTTTTAATGTATCGCCGATTTGGTCGATAAACCTTCGTCTATGGCGTCCCTTCCCGACCCTGCCGTTCACTTCCGCAACATAAATTTGCTTTGTCACTCTTTCCTCGTTCATTCTTTCTACATGACCAAACCACCGAAGCATTCCTTTCTTAATCCTTGTCACAACGTCATCTTGCAAACCACACTTTTCTCTTATCACACTATTTCTCACCCTGTCATTCAGATTCAGCCCTAGCATACTCCTTAAGGAACGCATTTCTACAGCATTTATTCTACTCTCATGCTTCTTCTGCCAGACCCAACTTTCACTACCATACATTAAAGTAGGGACTAACACAGCATTATGAATTGCCATACGTGCCTTAGTTGACACATTCTGACTCCTCATAATAGCGTGTAGAGCCCCATTCACTCTATTTCCTGCGTTCACTCGTCGTTCTATATCCTTATCATATCTACCATCCCTGCTAAATAAACATCCCAAATATACAAACTCATCCACTTGCTCAATCAACTCCCCTTCTATTCTTATTTCACATAAAGTTTTACTTTCTTCTCTTTCAAAAACCATCACTTTCGTCTTACTTGCGTTCACTTTCATACCCCTTTCTTTCAATGACCAATTCATTAAAGTAACCATCATTTGCAACTCGTCCGCCGACGATGCAAATATGACTTGATCATCGGCGTACAAAAGGCATTTGACGGTTGACTCACCCATTCTCAACCCACATTCTTCAACTTTCAAAGTTTGCAAACAACTGTCCATAAATAAGTTAAACAGCCACGGGGAAGCCACACATCCCTGTCTGACACCTTTATGAATGCCAAACCAGTCCGAGTAGACCCCGTTGATCCGACACAAGCACTAGAGTCCCTATAAAGAGATCTTAATGCCTGTATCAAGCCAGCGCTCAACCCAAATGAGTTCAGTGTTTGCCATAACACATTCCTGTCCACTCTGTCATAAGCCTTTTCCAAGTCCATGAACGCACAAAAAACTTTCTGGTTTTTAGCCAAAAACTTCTCCGCTATCATGCGCATGGAAAAGACTTGATCCGTACACCCCATCCCCTTTCTAAATCCAGCTTGCACATCCCAAATTTTTCCATCAGTTTCTTCCATAACTCTTTCAATTAACACCTTAGCATACAGTTTACCCACAATGCTAAGTAAGCTGATACCACGGTAGTTTTTACAGTCCTGCTGCGACCCCTTTCCCTTATATATTGGGACTACAACGGCTTTGCACCAGTCTTCTGGTACCCGTTTCAGTTCCCAACACAAATTAAACAAGGTGTGCAGCAGGCCTGCAACCACACCCTCACCAGCCCTCAGCATTTCGAGTGATACTCTATCATATCCGGCTGCCTTACCTGCTTTCATGCTTTTCATTGCTTTCATTATTTCATCTACACTTATCTCCCTACCTCTCCCCACTTCTTCCGGAATTTCTATTTCACTTATTCCAGACGACTCTTCACTCTTAAACACGCTTTCAAAGTATTCCTTCCATCTCTTTAAATTCGAAACTTCATCATTCAGCATGCAATTCATTTAATCATTATAAGCCAATAAAAGTTTACAGCTGAACGTAGGCCTTCCTCAGAAATTGCCACGACACCTAAGATATCATGTGTGTGTAAGTGGATTTTCGAACGCCGGCACAACAGCGTAGAATTTATTTTAATCATTACTATTATCAGCCTTATTGCTGAGTCTGACATTGACGATAGTGAAACGCGAGCATGTGCATTCTTTATTAATCTTAGGTTCAAATCTTGATCGAAACTCTGTGGATTCACGTCGTCTGGGTTGAACGTGTTTTCGTGGTCTCTTTATGTTATTGCCGTTAAATTTCAAGTAATATGAAAATCTATCTCTATTTTTAATCGATTTTAAAAAGGAGGAGGTTTTCAATTAGAGTGTATTTTTTTAATATGTTATACTTCAAGGGTGGTCCGATATAAAGAACATCGGCCAAATACGACCTGACCAAAATATTAAACGACCACCAATGATTGATACGTAAAAAATAGTGACTTAGGTGTATATTAAATTATGTGGTCCAACTTATTTTATTGAAGCCGGTAAAATAATTTAGCTTTGTAATGAAAAACCTCATTTTCCACTAAAGTAACACTACCATTATGCGTTTACTATTTTTAAACACTAGATTTTATTGTAGATTTTTTATTTATTTTTGTAGTGTATTATCAATAATATCATTTTTAGATGGGGATATGGAAAGTATTCCGAAATAAGTTGCAAATGATAAAATGCACTAATATTTAGAACGGAACGTATTATGAGTGTCTTTCTACAGTCTGTGGTATTATGACACGAGAGCAGTCAAAGCGTGAGCAAAAGTCAGAGCAAAGAAAAGATTAGAAAGGTTATTGATTCATTTTTGTGGTCTTAGCCATTGACATGACTTATTTGGTTAAGTATATATTACTGCTTAGTTTTCATATCAATTGTTTTAGCTGAGGTTGTAGTCATGGCTGCAGTTATGACTACATCACAACATCAAAAGTGACGAAATACATAAGTGTAACGTTCTATGATTCTCGGCTTTTAAGTAATATATTTTCTTTTTAGGATTTAGATTGTGCCCAGGGGGAACGGATTAATCCATACACTAGTCATGTTCGCGATGTTTTATAGTCAGGTCACAGCATGTATGGGCCGTGACCGATGTTCTTTGGAGAAAAAATTCCACCCCTAAAAGTAGAAAATAAATAACTTCTTTTTTAGCAATTTGAAATCGGTTTTTACTTTTTGTTAAAATTTATAATTATATAGATTCTATTTGAGATATGTATAATTATATAGTCTATTTCAGAAGTTAGAATATTCTTCCAACATATCTAACCAGATATTGTTTGTATTCCTTTTTTGTTTATATGCCAGTTTTGAGATAACGAAACACACAAAATCACTTTAGTCCATAAAAACTATTTATTATTACACTCTACCGAGAGCTTCTATCTGTCACATCACATGCCTAAAACATGTTTCGGGAGTAATGCTTAAAAATAACTGTTTCTCGAATAAAACTATTTTTACGGATTTTATCGCGTTTAGTTCACTTATTTTTTAGCGACTGAGATGTTTGACATCCCGATGTCATAGTTAGCCCGGCTGGCTACCTTCAGTTTTTGAATATTAATTTTTGGTCCGATCTACGCAGAAAGAGATTACAGTATCTTGAAGTCTTGCAGTGGTATGCTTGGGTTTGAATTCAATTTTGTTAAATATAGGATCCCAAGCAAATGGCAGCACCTATCCATCTTCTCTATTGAAATTAGGATGATATTTTAATTTCAATATCCTCGTGTACACCACACCATCCTTGTTAGGCATCGGTTTTCTTTTGCGAGGATTCGTGGTCTATCAAATCTGATGTAATGGCGGGGATGATCTTGACCAGGTTTATAGACTGCAGATTTCCCGGAGCACAGGTTTATATCATTAGTTATTTAGTTATTAGAGAACATGTTTGTTTTTTCAATTTCTTGTACACGGCAGTTTTCTGTATTGTTACAAACTAATCGTCATCGTCATTACAGCTCTTCACAAGACCACTGCTGAATACAGGCCTCCCCAAGGAATGCCAAAGCAAGGTTTTTTTTGTTAGTCAACTAATTTTGTTATATTTGTATAGGTAGGGCTGGAATATAATTAGTTCATTCGTTTGTTTGTCACATGGACAGCTTTTCAACATTATAGTAGTTATTAACACAAGTTGAAAAGCTGTACACCTGTCAAACAAAATTTTCGTTATACTGATGGGAATATTGCGCCTTTGTTTAATTATTGTATTTAATTTTTTTAAATCCATTGATTTTTTTTCAAACGGATAACAATATCAGAAATATATTTCCTTTTTTTAATTTTACAGAATGACTGTGGGCCCGACGTCCTATCGACTGATACCCAACAATCAAGGTGACGTGGTTTATGCTGGACAAGGCTTGGAGGTAAGGAATATTGCTTAAATTTGAATTTTAAAGAAATAATGTTCATATTTACATTGCCTACTTATCTAAAAATTAAAAAGTAAATATGTGTATGTACTGAAAAGCAGAAGTGTAAAACTAAGGTTTTTAATAAGATATAACCGCACTCTGTTGTATGTTGTTGAAATATAACATTTTACAAAAAAAAATTGTGGCAAAAACACGTAATGTGGCAAAAACATGTAATCAAGTTTTTTCAAAGTTATGCTCTGTTAAACCTTATATCACCGTTTAGTTCAAACGAGAGAATGTTTTAGGTGGGCGAATGCGGTGCTAACATCAAGCACATAAAAGAAGAATGGAACGGCAACATTTCCTGCGTTCTGCCGCCAAAATCCGGCAGCATCGAAGTTACCGGCACCATGCAACTGTTGGTCGCAAGTAAGTTAAACCAGATTTTAATAAACATTATATCATTAAAATAATTGTATTTATTATTAATTTCATTGATATTTAATATGAATTTAGCATATGTTCCGTTACAGCCTATCAGAAGTTTACTTATATGGTTATAATAGCGGGTGCACTGTTGCTTAGTAATGGGAATGAGTCTGACAAATGGCGGTATACCCATATTTAGCTGTGGACTAAATAATGATTACGTGTGAAATGATCTAAGAACTAAGCACGTGGTCCTGTATATAGCGTTGTGGTTTCACTGCAACTTATACTGAGTGACCTATATTGGCATACCTTGCGACGTACAATGTCAATCTATTAAATTCATATATTTTGTATTTATGTGTATAAAGCCTTTCTTTCTTTTGTTTCTTCTACCATATTGGAATCAGCTCTAGTTTCTTTTACAACTGATGCCCACGCGGCCCACGATGTCTAAAGTCTGTCTATCTGTTGATCCAGTGCGGAACCAAAGATGGTGTGGGTTCTTCAACTAAACAAATTATTAAATGGTTTTCGGATCCTCAGTGAAATTTCGTAACTAGTGGGAAACATGGTTGGCTCCGTTTTGACATTTGTTTTCTTTGCATTGTGTAAATGTATCATTATCTGTTATAAGCCGATGTCTTTTTTATATTAATATCATAATTCAAGATACAAAATAATAACATACTGCAGCAAACAACGCAGCTGCGGTGTAATTCGGCAAACGATTCCCGTCAAAATTATACTATTGCACTACAGGTTCTATTAAGGGTATGATTGTTCTCGTGTCTCTGATATTTTATCCAACTGCCTAGTTGGTCTAGTCTAGTCTAATCTCGAGGTCCCGGGTTCGTATCCCAAATTTCGCGTCGAGCCAATAAAATCAGTTATTGAGTTTATTTGTCAAGAAATTCTCGGTAGCAGCCTGAAGTGAAGAAGTTGGCGGTGTTTCACCTCCGTGCCTCGGAAAACACGTAAAACCGTTAATCCTACACCTGATTTCTTTCCGGTAGTGTCGGCTTGCCGGGAATAAGGGTATAGGAAGTGCACCAGTGCTAATCCTGTTCTGCTCAGATGGCTAGTTTTACCCTGAGACTGGATGACAGAAATTCGGTCTGGAGGAAAAAACTTTATCCAAGTCTACTGTACTGTATGTATCTATGAAACCTAACGGGTTTTCTTTAAACATGAACGACCTTAACTACAAATAGTAGGTTATAATTATATTCTCAGGTAATCAAGTATGTTTTAATAAAAAATTCACGTGGGAAAATGTAAAGTATGAATGTACCAAATGTAGTTTCGTGAAGACTGTGGCGCTGCAGCTAAAGGACTTCTTTCGTGAGAAAGACTCCTCTTAAACCATAGTTTGAATCTGATACTTTCAATAATACGGTAAATTAGGATGAGTGAGTAGATACCTCACGTATCTATTATCGAATATATAAAAAATAATTTTTGTTTGTTCATATTTTATGCGCTGCCATACCGTTCATCAGACTGCGCTAAAACTTAGTCAACTTAATGCTTGCACTTCTGCGACGGTTATAGGCATAGTACAATTAACTTACAATGGGTGGCGCGCATATCGTACCAACAAATTTATTTGAAAGATATACATCACTCAGCTTCAATGAATGTATATGTATCATTCCCAATTAAATTCGATATGCTTCCAAATTTAAAATGATATTTCGGCAATTATTTTTTCTGCGGCTGCAACGCGCCGGGTACCAACCAGCTAGTGTAAAATAAAAAGAAAATCCAATCGTATGGGTTTTTGGTAGTACTGATTCAAATTTCAGCTATATATTCTAGCTACTCTAAAATATATAGCTGAAAGTTGTATGAACAATTTCGAATATAAAACTGCTCGTCGTTATTGCAGTAATTAAATAGTTATACACAGGGAATTATTTAATAAAGAAAAGTGCCTGTAAATTTTCACCTCTAATGTAATACCCCTAACGAGGTTCTTAATCGAGATACGAATCATAGTATCTTATACTATATGATAAAAATTAAATTTTAAAATGTTCTCCACAGGGCCACCTGGTGATATTCAACTGCTTACGCCGCCGCAGTCATCTTTCAAGGAAGGCGACATTTTTATGGCGCAGTGCATTGTGCCTAATGGAAGACCAGCGGCCAAGATCACCTGGTTTTTGGGTAAACATACATATATTAAAATCTTTTCTTCTTTTATATTTATAATATTTTTTAAATATAATTCCTCATTGCAGTAACGTTATTTTAATTTAAAATTAAAGTTTATATGGTTATACTAGGGATAATAATATTCGTTGACATAAAAAAGTTATACTAGTTATCATATTTTGTGTTGAGCAATAGTACTATAGGGAATAAGCACTACCTGTAAATTTCACTGTATGCAAGCGACCATTCTCTGTATGAAAACATTTTTTAATATAGGATAAGGGTGACAAATGTGCACACAGTCCACCTGATGGTAAGTGGTTGCCTTGACCTATAGATATCTACATCTATCCTTGATTACGAATCAAAATGCAGATGCGTTGTCACCCGTGAGGACTAAGATGAAATGCTGATGAAAATCGTTTCCAGTAAAAAGGGTATCCGGTTCTCTACACTCACGATACGTTAAGCTGCTATTTTACGCCGGTATTCTGTGAGAGTGTGCTTCTTCCCGGGTCGAGCCGACCCATTCGTGCTACAATTATACCAGTAATATAGCTGCAGCATGGCTCTAACACGTAAAATGACATATTTTATTACTTATTATAGTGCTTCACTACATTCCCACCTGGTGGTAAGTGGTGACGAAGGACTAGATGGTAAATCTCACTGTCTTAGCGTAACAAAAGCCTATTCACTCTTTTCATAAAGACGCCCAGATTGTAATCGGACGTAAAGATGTGCCGGCAGATTATTCTCCTCCTTTACTGTACGAGTTACGAAAGATAAAGCAAACCGTTTGGTTCGAAAGCGTGGATTATCGACAAGAAAGGGGAGAAACCTCAGACCGGTTTCTTGTCCGATGGTGGAAAAGGGAGGTAGGAATTAATGCATGTAATTCCTGCGCACTCTTTCCGAATACATCCTATAGAATATGGAGGGGCTGGATTTTTGGATTTGGATGGAGGCTGACTAGATTGGCTCCAACCATATCAAGGTTACCAGTAAGTCTCTTAGCCCGTCTCTCCTCTGAGTGCTAGGTGGCATTTTGCAGCACTAGACTGTGTGACAGCAGTACTCCATGCACAACCATACTTGCGCTTTATATAAGGTAAGAAGCTGCCTCAGCGTGAAGTACCGCTGCACCCCTGGAGGGGTGCGGCGGTAGGTGGACCTAGTTTCCTAGGAGCTGCTTTGGCCGTAGACTTCATGAACCGCTCACAGTTAAGGTTTGGTAAAATCACAACCCATAACAACTGAAAGCGGTAGGTAATTGTACTCCAAAGATACATCCCAGAAACTAGGATAAGGTTGAGCGGGCTCCTTTAGCGGTGAAGAGATTCGCTTGTATTGTGGAGGCGTTTAATCTCACAACATTGGCATCGCCCCATTCGGAGACAGTCAGCAGTGAAAGATTCGCCCGTTAGACCAATAGCTTTTTTTTGGGACTGGCTTAGATCCCGACTGGCCTAAGCATTTGGTACCTCTTCATAACTGTGCTGTCGTCTGCATACAGCTACCGGGCATAAGCAGTTTATTAAGAACGAACCCCTGAGGAACTCCGGCGTTTATCGCAAAATATTGCGATAAATAATAATGAAAGCATGGGATATGATGTACGCTGGAAGCTTGGTCAAAAGACTAGTGTGCCAAACCCTGTCGAAGGCTTATTAAACATCAAGGAAAACAGCAAGTGCTTCTCCACTGTTCTCGAGAGCCTTGCCCCATATGTGACTGGCATGCGTTAGAAGGTCTCCTGTTGTTTTTTTTATAGGATAAGGGTGACAAACGAGCACACAGTCCACCTGATGGTAAGTGGTTGCTGCGACCCATATACATCTACATCTATCCTCTATTACAAATCAAAATGTAGATGCGTTGTCACCCGTGAGGACTAAGATGGAATGCCTCATTTCCAGTAAAAAGGGCCTCCGGCCACCTGCACTCACCAAGCGAAACGCAGAGGTAAACCTCTACTTCACGCTGGTTTTCTGTGAGGTCGTGGTACCACCCCGGTTCGAGCCGGCCCATCCGTGCGACAGCAAAAACTGCCGTGTGGCTCTACCACTGTCTAACCGATTTCGATAAAACCCATAGTGTCAGTCACTGATGAGGACATTCTGTTCTAGGTATGCCATGAGGTAGGCGTTCAATATACGCTCCATAATCTTGTAAAATATTGAGGTAATTGCAATTGGCTGGTAGATAGTAGGGTTGATGACAGATTTTGACACTATTCCAGTCCTAAACGAGAGGTGGAACAAGCGCGCAACACAGGAGACAACAGGTGCACAATCCTTTAGAACTAGTATACCATGTGGTCCACTAGCTTTGTCCACGTATAGAATTCGCAAGGTTTAAAGTTACCAACAGTTAAAAGCAATATTAGCAGCTATGTTTCATATAATGAATGACGAGAATCTTGGACTTGGTTTAACCGTTACTATAAGCTCCGTGTCAATTGTCAAGCTTTAATGATGCTGCTTTTGCTGTATTTAGTCTCCTCAGGGTTCTGAAACACACATTCTGAGGTTTTTCCAAATTTATATATCAAAATCTATTTCAAACAATCACTTGAACCAGATCATAGGAGTAACAGTGAGTGACACAGATAAAGCAAAGATTATACCTGCAGAGTTTCTTTCGTCATTTCGCCAGATAGAGGAACTTCATTGTGAAACGGTAGTAGGTTATAAAATATGTTACATAAAAAAAGATATTCGAGAGCGGCCAAGTTCCCGCCAATGACGACTTTTTCTGCTAACAGGGCGGCGCCACTTTGCAATCACAGATTTCATAGCGGGAAAGATAGTTTCTTGGGAAAATGTAAAGATTAATGTTTCTTTCTGCATATCTAGTTATATTTTGTATTAATTAGATTAGAAATGAATAAACCAAAATATGAATATAACTAAAAGTAAAATAAATTAAAAAAAAGAGTTAAAAAGTGCAAAAAGATTTAAGATCAAACCATCGAGGAATTGTTTTGTGTATTAAAATAATACTCTAGAAACTGATGAACAATTATTTAAAACTAATTTCTCAATTAACCGACACTTTGTAACAAAAAACTTTACCTCAGTCACAACTAGCGACATCTGGTGCATGGAAGATTATTATTCCACATTTTAACCATGTGTTGTTCCACAGACGACGAGCAGGTGTTGGTGGGTACGCACCAACCCATCATAACGTCGGAGCCGGGCAGCGACCTGCAGACCATCAGCCAGAACGTGAGCCGCGCGCTCGTAGCCGACGACAGCGGGCGCCGTCTGATCTGCCGCGCCGAGCACGAGAGCCTCGACAAGCCCAAGGAGGCCAGCAGGCAGCTGCTTGTGCATTGTGCGTATGCCTTTTTGTCATCATCACCATTAACTTTAACCAGTCCACTGCTCAACGTCGGCCTCCCCCAAGGTATATAGACCGTGTAGTGGCGGCAAACCAGGAGATGAGCAGTAACGTCTTCCTTATCTTTATATATAAAAATTACGTGCCACATTGTTTGTCCGCGATGAACTCCTAAACTACTAAACTGATTGCAATGAAATTTAGCACACTGTGTGCAGTTTGGTCCAACTTGAGAGATAGGATAGTTCTTATCCCTATAAGTAACCCTCAATATTTTTTTATTACGAATTTAAGAATTTTTATAGGACACAGGGTCGTCGGAGAGGGCAGAACAAGGTCTGCCTGGCCAGCTAGTAACATATTAAAAAAAAAACTGTGTTTGTCAACCCGCTTGCCAAGCGTAGCAAATATGGTAAACATGATCCCTATGAAGCAATCTATGTGGGATATAGTATAGGCTATATTTAGTAGCGGACTTTTAATTGGCTATATCGAAGTAATGGTGTAGTAACAATCTGCCACCATACGAGGAGAATCTTAAAATAATCCATCAATCAATTTCGTCGTAAGAGGCGACTAAAGGAAACACCAGAATGATCTTATGGGTTTTTGACAGATGACGGTATAGCCATTTCGCTTACACCAAGTGAAAATATCCATACCGGCGACTAATTTGCGTCAAATTTGCAAGATGTTTGGTACTGCGACCGTCGATCCACTTGCCTTATCAAGGCAAATCAAGATAGATTTTCACAGTGTAGTGGCAGCGTTAGAGAATCCACCCATATCATCACATCAGTGTCGTAGAAGGCGACAAAGGGTCAAGCGTAACAACAAACGACTATGGCAAATATGGGAGATATAAAGCAATCAATTGGCAAGGCCTAAATTCAGCAGTGGCCTTGACTTTGACTTTATAATGATGATGATGAGCGAAAAGTTGTCCCTACAATGAGACAGACCCATGTCCAACAGTGGACTTTTATAGACCGATGAAAAAGAGGAAAAGAATTATAATGACAAATCAGCTAACAGTCCACCGGGTGGTATGTGGCTACTGCAGCCAATAGACACCTGCAAACAACTTCAAGTGTGTAATGCTATAAGTTTCTGTCACCTTCTTTGAGCGACGAATAGGATGGGATGCTTCACAGCCTATTATTACTGGCTTTAAATAGGCCAGAAACCGGAATAAACCAAAGGACGCTAGTTGACAGCAGAAATAGGTTAAGGGAGTGTTATCCACCAAGACGGACTCGAACAAGACTCGAACAAGAAAGGACCTTTTTTTACAATAGTGTACATTTTTAATTTTAAAGCTTTCGATAAATTATATTTACAAATATTTAGAAGTATGTTTTTTCGATTTCGATTTATGGATGAGAAAATATTACAATATTATATTTTTATGTCCTTGTACGTAAACAGGGTGCTTTAATTTCATTTTTTTAACCATTCGTTAATTATATCCCACAGACCCACCAAAACGTCTGGATGACAGCTCCACCATCACGATCTTCGGTCTGAAGCTGTCAGCGGAAGGTCTTCTCAATGTTACTGTACGATCCAACCCACGGCCTCATGCCGAGTGGACGATTGGAGACTTGAAATTGGTCGCCCCTCAGAAAAACGAAGACGCCTCCATCGAAGCGCTCGAGCCTATCCATTTGGTAAATATTTAGTTGTTGACGTTCTCATGACTTTCTAAGTTTTTTTTATGTAATGGAGCACTGCAACTATATACGAACTATACATGAATGGGTTGGCTTGACCGGGGTAGGACCACGCTATCACAGAATACCAGCGTGAAACAGCAAATAATGCTGCTGTGTTTCATATGCTAAGTCTGGAGAACTGAAGACCCCTTTTACTGATAAAGAGGCATTCCATCTCAGTACTCAGGAGTGACAAGGCGTATGCACTTTGATTCTGAATCGAGGATATATCTTTTCACAACAGCATTACTTACCATTAGGTGGACTGTGACTGTACTCGCTTGTCACCCTTATTCCATAAAATAAAAGGAAAATAGTTGATCTTTGATTTAGCATCTGAGTCAGCGCCATTATTGCTCATTCCGTGAACGTCAATACACATGGCGTAGCGCTGTAAAACTTTTCCTGCTAAAAAACTATACGAACAGACTATAAAATACACTGCTTTTGTAATTGAATAAAAATTAAAATACTATTTTCAATCACATAAATGATTTAACTATAAGAAATGTATAATTGACTTTTTGATAATTAGACAATAAATAAATGTTACGGCAATTCAGTTATTTTCAGGTCAATATTAAACTGCGTTGACGATTCCGTGTCCTTATAAAGCGAAGTTAGCGTTTGCACATTCTATATCATTATTGGCGTTCTTTTCTGAAATCGTGGATTACTGTCTGTACGGGCGATTGTGTTCAGTATATTCTGGTAGATTTTGACTACGACAACAACTTACAAAGTTACAAGCTAACATCTTAAGACAGGACAGGACATGTGCCACAAGTATATCCACTAACATAGAGACATACGCCAGCTCTAGCAAATCCGTGCCCGAATTAACGCGTGCGCGATAAGATCAAAAGTAGACTACATAATAGGATGCAGAGTCGACGAGGCATAAACACAATACGGGTAGTATTGTGTTTATGCCTCGTCCAACTTGATTCCGAAATCAGGATCCGCGGCATATTAGCCAGTTACCACTATCTCGGGCGTTTACTTAAGGTGGTTTTTCCAAAATTTTTCAAACTTTATTATCTATATTCAGGGCGGGGGCTATTACAATGTGACGTTGCTACTCTCCCGAGTGGCCAAGGAAGATGTCGACCGCACCTATTACCTGACAGTCGCCAATGACCTGGGACGTGAGGACTTCTCCGTTCGTCTTAGCACTATGGACGAGCCCGCCGGTAAGCCTAGTGTTAAACTTCAATGCGATAAAAGTTTTACCAAAGTTCTAACACGACGAGACTTTCGTAATTTTTTCCTTCAGACTGCCACAGATCATAAATAGATTTTTTGTTATATGAATACTTATAGTATATAATTATGTGTATATTATTTTCAAGGAGGTTTTAATTATCAATGTTATAAATAGTTATTTAAACAGGCATATTTTGTTTTATGTATAACCAGGTGAAACACAAAACATTGTAAAAATCTTTTATAAAAAAATAGTTTTGAAATAATTTGAATATTATATAACACTTTTTTATAAATGTATGTACCTATGTCAGTATTATTTATTGGATTTTTTCAAAAAATATAAATATAATATTATATTTTCACAGCTCGTAAAGCAAAATCTTCGTTTTTGATAATCGATATATACGGTAAGAAATTATACTAAGAATGGTAGTTTACAATGAATGAGTAGGATGTCATCTAAATTATGATTCTAATATTTGAAGCCTGATTTCTTTATTGTCGTAGTAAATTACGCTGTTAGGGCAAAAATTATTTTTAATTTGCGGAACGTACGACTTTTTAAAGCATGCCGTTAAATTTTCATGTACCCAGTAGTATAGAGAAAATGCGATATGATAATTTGTTATTAATAATATAATATTAATAAAGCATGTTCTGAGTTACCGTTATGAAAATGAATTTCTATAAAAGCGTTACCCTAACTGACTAAATTGCTTTTCATAATTTTGCATTTACCCATTTTGAGTCCTTGTGTATGTATGTTTTTATTTTTGCATCTAAATATTATTACATTATATTCTGTTGTGCAGGTAGTATACATAGCCTATAAGAAAAAATAATAATTATATATTTAATAATTTATTACATTATTTGTTATATGAACCGAAGTAGTTCGTGTTCGTAAATGTGGCGCCTAATTTCATCTTTTGCTGTCTTCCCGCCGATAATTTAGAATGAATTTTATTTCGATTTTTTATAATACTTTGGTGCAAATATTATCTACTGTTCGAGCATTAGAAAGATTTTTTGTATCGTTTTAGTACAGCGTTGTCTCTGTCGCACTAAGTACAAATTTATCTATTTTAGAGTTGATAAAACTCGCGTGTTTTTAAAAATGAATTAAATAGACCTATATGAAATGCAGATTTTACATCTGTTTATTATATACCTACTTCACTGTGAAGTGGTGTAAGAATATCCACTACCCCATATCGTCCAGTGGGTGTCGTAAATAGCGGCAAACGAAAATGAAACAGACGATGGCCAGCAGCGTCTTGCTGATTATAACTGAAAATAATAAAAAAGACAGCTGTTGCCAATTCGCTTGCCGAGCGTGTCAACTACGGCTAATATCCTATGAGGCAGTCTATGGGATAGACAAATTACCGCCTATCAAAAGACTTTTGGTAAGCTGTCTTGTGTCGGTAATGGTATATAAAATAATGGTATACTAATTTAAAACATTTAATAGATTATCTCGCTCTCCAAACAAAAGCGCGTCGATTGTGGCCGATATAGACGATAGAAATTATTTATTCTGTAACGATAGTCTCTTTCTAAGGCTCGATGAGTCTACTTTATCGCTGAGTAGTACAGATAATATAATTATAATTATAAAATCATAACTCCATCATCTATAACCGAGTTCGTTTATTTATTTATTTATTTATTTATTTATTTAACAAGTACACTTACAATATACATATATGACATTGTCACAAAAACTTACACACTTTTATATTTCCTGTTTATTAACAAAAACAAACTTGATTAACGTATCAAACCATATTTTACTTACAATGAAATAAATTAACAGTATGAATATACTGCTATTTTGCCATGCGTTGTTTCACGCTTTCTAATTTAAATATTTAAAAAAAATCATATTCAACTCAATAATATTTCCTAACGTTTACGAATAATTATCAATGCAATTATTTTGGTCAGTATTTAAAATTATTTTTATAAATAGGTGTTGAACTGGACACGGGAGCAATTGTGGGAATCGTAGTGGCTGTCTTGGTGTTACTTATTGGCATTTTCCTCATCGTGTTCGCCAAAGCTACCGACAGATGGTGTTTTGCAGGTTAGTGTCTTTTTTATTTTTAATAATTATTTTATTTACGGTTTAACGGAAGCGTATGGTGTAAATCAAACTTCAAAAATGTGTTTTACGAAATTATTGAATTAGTCCAAAATGAAAAATTCTTTCAACTTAATTGACATTTCAAGAAAAGCAATTAAAGACAACATGCGCTTCCGTAAACATTTAAAACAAATCATGAATGATATTTAAAACAAACATTGTCTCATGTTCCCTTCGTTTGTTCACGACTAACTTAAAAGACGAAGCAGTTTGATCCTTTAAAAAAAATCTCCGCACTGTCCATAATGTTCGTAAGCTATCGATACACCTTAAGGTTATAAAAAATGTCTAGAAGTAATACTTAATCACTGGGTATAATTGCGGAAAATTTATGTAAAAAAAAAAACAATTAGTCATCCGCAATCATGTTTTAAATATTATCCTATAGAAAATAGTACATTTAAAATGCTAATGACCAAATAATCAAGCGCTACTCAATTTTAAGATGTCTCATGGTGTCACAGTCACTTTGACTTAAAGTGATAGAGACAGCATGAGACTTAACGGCATCTTGAAATTGAGCGATGTTTGAGTATATTGGCATAATATACATTATGACATTAAAAAACTAGCTCCATACAACATCTTCGATTGCTTCTTTGATCGATAGCTTACTTAATCCCTCATGATGCATTTTGTTATTTGAATTGCTTCCTTATTCGCTTCAATACCCCTCATGAGTATTTAGGCATGCCCTTTAATGCTATTGTTTACAAATTTTCAACAAAACTAATAAAACTGGATATCCAACAGGCTCAGGGGCAGTTGGTCGATAGGTAAACACTAGATTTTTTTTTAATCACACGAAAGCTCACAGATCTATCACGTGTTACAGCTTACCTTATAATGTTCAAAATCATACAATTATTCATGGAGTGGGCGAGTCATGACTTTGCTTTATACCTATTACCCTGGAATTAAAAAAAAAATTGACAAACCATATTTGCGCTAAAGCCATTTAATAATGAACTTAAATTCAGAGTGCATACACTCGATATTTGTTAATTTATGTTTTTATAAACTAAATAACGTGTATTGAACTATCTCTGGCTCTGTTTAGTGCTGTTGTCCATTGTAACGTCTCTAAATAACTCCTCTCGTAGTAAGGCATTGAAAAATCAGCTTTATATCATATTAGTAAATTCACACGCGGTCTCAAAGAAAGAACGTAGACTCATTTGCAACCAACAATGGTTTTAGGTCCATATGTGTGCGTGACTGCGAGTTCTTACAATAAGTTGAGCATAGTTTCCGCGTCTGATCTCTCGCTAATGTTGTGTATACCTTATTTTGTTGGTCTGAACGCGCGGTACACTACTTTCATATAAATTTACAGAAATGATCTGTTGTACCCTTGGTATAAAGTTTATAAATATACACATATACTTGTAGTAATATATTGTATTAAAATTAATGCAATATATTACTACAAGTTAAGAACGTGCTTAATCGTTACAGAGTACGACCTCTCTATTAAAGTTACATCAACTATTTTTCCAAGTTCCTAAAAATTAATACTCGTTGGTTTATACATTACTAATAGGATTCCAAACCAATCCAAGATCGAATACCCTGTTCTTTTCTACTTCTGTATGAGCCTTGCATCTAACATACAAAATGATGACTCGATTCTTCAGAGCCATTGTTTCTACAATTCAGTGATATGCCTTAAACTCGTACCGCAACACCGTTTTAGTGTTTGTACTGAAACTACACTGTACTTTTTCGTTTTACTATAGGTTAACGCCTTAACGCAAATACGGATTCCTTTAAATAAATAAAAAATACATCATTTCGCGCCAAAATTAAAATAATACCTCTTATCTGAGTTTTTTTAAGAGTATTTTTTATGTTGGCTCCCCTACTTTTGTGTAGAATATACAATATACATGTGTATGCGTCTATTTAGATTTGGTAGAAATTGTTTGGCTGTTGTAGATTTAGAAAATAAGAAGTGTAACTTGGCAGTGTTTTTTTTACGAAATATTATGCTTGTCGCATTATTGTGTAGTTCTATATGTTTAAGTTAAATAAATTGTTATTAGGTTAAACATTTTAAATTTACTACATAACAATATATTGAGCGATCAAGAACCCTATACAGTATTGAATTTTTTTTTTAATTGAATGATGCATGACTTATTTTCTAAGTCTTTTCGGCGCACGCAATGGTGGATGGTTTTATGTTTCTTACCTCTTCTTCATCTCTTACTCATTATTCTTTTCTATTTTAAAAGGAGCATGGTTGCATTTAATATTTTAAAATTATGCATGACTAAATATTGATTTGAGTTTTCTATAATAATGTACCTACAATTTTTTATTGAAGGTTGGAACTTAAATTGGACTAATAAAATGTTCTAGTATACTTATGTATGTATATTTCTTTGTTTGTAGAATCAACTAGAAACAGTCTCTTTTCTGATTTGTTTGACGATCAGTACAATATTTTATTAGTCAAATTTTTCAAATATTTGTTATTGTAAACCTAAAAAGGTGGAGGATTTTTTTTAGCTAATCTTGTGTATCTAACTTTATTCTTTTAGTTACAAACAATATTTAACAAAAATTTAAGTTCAATACGTCCACTTAACAAAATTCTGACCATTGAAAAACAATACGAGTGATTATTGTTAAATATACAAATATATAAAAAATCCAAAATATACTTTTATGGATTTAAATGTTAACTAATACGCCAAAAATAAATAAATATAAATAAAACTAAAATGAAATGTGAATACCCAAAGTTATTAATCAAAAAATGATAATTTTGCACATAACAAAATGAAAATATAAAACGAATTTGTTTATGATGACATGACATAACAATATACTCCGCTCAAATACAGGCAATGAGCAACAGACAAAAATTTATATTCTTCTCTCAATCAAAACACATGTACCTAAGTACGCTGTGCTGGCTACCAGGACTAATTGTCAGGAACACTTTATTATATACCTGACCGTCACTGACATTAAAAAGAAACGGTTCTAATATTACCAAGTAATTAGTACTAGTTTTATACGTGATAAAGTCACAATGCAGTATGTAAGTAATATTATGGTTACTACACAAATGGGTCCGCGTAGGACCACGCTCTCACAGAATATCAACATAAAATGTTTCGTAATAAGCTAAATGAAACTACAAATGATATCAATTCAGAGTTTCTCTCGAAAGATCTGACACAATCTATTATATTTAATTACATTATATTACCTAAACTAAATAACCCAAATAAACCGAAATAATAAAAATGTTAAAAGTAAATAACATAGGAATAAACAGTTCCAAATATAAAAAATAAATGAAACACAATCTAAAAGAAGTATTTGCTTATGTTTATTTTTAAACTATATTAATGATTAAATGCTGCATTAATTAATGATATAGTTAATAAAAATGCCGACACGAATACAGTAAGTGGGTCATTTTTTACTATACATTCGTTCACATAATCAATATGCATAGCATCCATTTATATACCATCAGGTGGACTGTGTGCTCGTTTGTCAACTATGTTCTTTTAAAAGAAAACTTAAAAAATTCCCAACAAACAAATCTTGTCAAACCTGTCTCAATCAAAATCTCAAATTAGGATTCGGCGCACATATTTCCCGGGAAAAATATTTTTCTGGTTCCATAAAACAATTCCTCGTCCAATTCCGTTAGTCTCGTTAAAACTCAAAAACGGCTCGACCGATTTTGATGAAATTCTTCGTGTGTGTTGTAATGGGTCCCTAAATACTTTACATTTACATTGGGACCCGTGCGAAGCCGGGGCGGATCCCTAGTAAAAAATAAAATTTGATGGCATTCATGAAAGCCTACTAAAAATATAGTTATAATACCATACTACATATATATGTCGCTCTTAAATGGAAAGTATTTTTGGTTATCTCTAAATTTATCAAGCAATTGATTCAGAAAGTACGTAGACAAGGGGAAAATATGTGAAATTTTATCATCTTGTTAACAGAAAGTTACAGCCTATGTACATCCTACGGCTGGGCTCCAGTGCGTGTTGATGGAAAATACATATCAAAAATACCAAGCTCAAATTCTACAGCCTTTTTAATGGTGTTAGTAGGTAGCATTACCATCGCGAAGGTATCAGTTCTACGATCGAGAATCCTATCTTAAAGAAACCCTAGCGTTGTGAAATATTATCTTTTAAAAAATGCATTCCAGACGCATTCTGAAAAAGCCTATGGCCAGCGATAGACTTGCAAATGGTGTGTCAGAAATTGCTTTCGTGTTGGGAAAAATGAAATATGGCAAAATAAAAGTTTTTTAATAGAATAAGGCTGACGAACGAGCACACAGTCCACCTGATGGTAAGAGGTTGCTGTGGCCCATAGACATCTACATCTATCTTCGTTGGCGAATTAAAATGCAGATGCATTGTCAGTGGTGAGGACTAAGATAGAATGCCTCCTTTCCAGTAAAAAGGGTCTCCGGTTTTCTACACTCACCATACGAAACACAGCAGCGTTAAGCTGCTATTTTAAGCTGGTATTCTGTGAGAGCGTGGTCCTTCCCCGGTTGAGCCGACCCATTCGTGCTACAACTATACTATTAATATAGCTGCAGCATGGCTCTACCACGTAAAAGCCGACGTGTGTACCGACGATAGTTTTTATTTGGTTTATTTATATTGAAAATGGATAAAACTCGCATCGCAAGCGTTATGTTGCGTTATGATTTGACCCCGTAGGAGAGTAATGAAAATTTTTTGCCCCTATTCAACCCTGACCCCATGACATCCACTACATGATAGGCTATTCAAACTGACTAGGCCTAAAGTTCGAGGGGGGGGGGGGGGGGCTCAAACTCATTGCTAGTCTTTACTTCCAATAATTTACAAGACTTCATAAACCACAAAAGAAACTTTTGACGAAAAGTCCAGAAAAAACAAGCTTAAAATTGGGCCATT